ATCATAAGATTTAGATTCTGTATTGATGGGAGAGGTCATCGTCATCGAGGAAATTAATGACTCCCATAACCGATATGACCCAGACGCACCACGTCGAGGTGGAGTTTGGTGGCATCGCTTTGCCCTTATCGAAAATAGTCCCAAAGGGCCGAATTAAAAGCCGCGTAGTTTAGTTTCTAGAGTACGTAATTTATTCCTCTCCTTGTTATCATTTTTCTCTTTTTAATTAAAATAAAAAAGGATTAAAACCAAAGAGCATGCCAGTGACTCAGTGAGTCTATCCACCAAATGTGTTCAAGGAAAGTAGTTAAACTTCAACGAGAACATAAATTTATGTATCTAATTTTTTTAATTTTTTTTTATAAATTAAATCATTTGTCCTGCACTCGGTGGCCAAATGGCCACCTCCTTGCAAAAGACGTGCGTAGGACTACAAGGACTTGAAATCAAATTTCAAGTCTCCCATTCTCCCTTTTTCCAAGAAAAAAAAAAATTTCACACTGTTTTAAAAAAAAATCATTTATTTTATCTTACTTAAAAAAGAAAAAAAAAAAAAGAAAAAACCCTCCACTTCCGGCCTCCCTTAAGAGTAAAACAATCCTTATGAAGACTTTGTCGAAACAAGCATAGGTCGCAGTTGTAACCCGCTCTATAAATCAAGCAGCTACCTTCGCAAGTTTGCATCTTGACCATTGCATCAAATATGTTGCTCATCTTCTTCCTCTTGGTTTTTCCTCTTTTCCTCTTTCTAATTATCCACAAACAAAGAAACCATGCCGACAAATCCAATCTTCTTCCACCAGGTCCTCATGGCCTTCCCTTGATTGGAAACTTACACCAGCTTGACAACTCCACTCTTCACGTTTATCTTTGGCAACTCTCTCAAAAGTATGGTTCTCTAATATCCCTTCGGCTTGGTTTTCGGAAAACCATAGTAGTTTCTTCAGCAAAAATGGCTAAAGAGGTTTTGAAAGCCCATGACATCGACTTCTGTAGCAGACCCGCTTTATTTGGCCAGCAAAAGCTATCCTACAATGGCTTGGATTTGGCTTTTTCGCCATTTAATTCTTATTACAAAGAGATCAGGAAAATAAGTTCCTTGCATCTTTTTAGCCCTAACAAGGCTGAACTCTTTCGTCCCATTCGAGAAGATGAAGTTTCTCAAATGATTGACAAGATATCGAAATCATCTGATGCTTCCAAACCCATCAATCTTAGTGAAGTGATGATGTGTCTTGCAAGCTCCATCATCTGTAGAGTTGGTTTTGGAAAAAGATATGAAGACGAAGGAAGGGAGATTAGTAAGTTCTATCGATTACTTGGCGAAGCACAAGCAATGTTTACAAGCTTCTTTGTCTCTGACTACTTTCCTTCAATGAGGTGGGTGGATAGACTCACTGGAATGTTGTCTCGTCTTGAAAATGTTTTCAAAGAATTAGATGCTTTTTATCAACAACTCATCAATGATCATCTTGATCCAAAGAGACAGAAACCAGACCAAGAAGACATAATTGATGTTTTCCTCAAAATTATGAAGGATCCTCAGTCTACTTTGCATATCTCTTTTGATCACATCAAAGCCATCCTCATGGTAATTAATCAGTTGATTCAATTTTTTCGATTCACTTGATTAAGAATATTGCATCATTTATATCTATATAAGGCTTGAGGGGTTCTCTTTCTGTGTATTTTCAGAACGTATTTATTGCTGGTACAGACACAAGTGCTGCTACAGTGGTTTGGGCTATGACCTTCCTGATGAAATATCCAGCCACAATGAAGAAAGTTCAAGATGAAGTCAGGAATTTAGCTGGGAAAAAAAGATTTTTAAACGAAGATGAAATTCAAGCCCTACCATATCTAAAAGCCGTGGTTAAAGAAACATTTAGGCTGCAAAGCATAGTTCCACTATTAATTGCACGAGAAACCCTTCGAGACTGCAACATAGGTGGGTATAAAATTCCAGCCAAGACCCTAGTATATGTGAATGCATGGGCAATAGGAAGGGACACTGAAGCTTGGGGACAAAACTCAGAAGACTTTTGTCCTGAGAGATTTATGGGTAGTTCCATTGATTATAAAGGACAAGATTTTGGGTTGATACCATTTGGTTCTGGTAGGAGGATTTGCCCTGGAATGCATATGGGAGCTGCAACAGTGGAGCTTGCACTTGCAAATCTTCTCTATAGCTTTGCTTGGAAAATGCCTTCTGGAATGAAGAAGGAAGACCTAGACTTTGATGCAGCCCCTGGAATTACAATGCACAAAAGAAATCATCTTTTCCTTATGGCTGCAGATTACAGATCTTGAACTGGTGCAAGTTGTAGTATTCCAATTCTTCCACAATAAATTACTCGGAATGTTGATCTAATATAGTCTTGAATAAAAAAAGCTCATAAATTTTGTATTTTTATTTTAAAAAATTGAAAAATCATTGTCTAATTTTAAAATAAAAAAATTGTGTGCTCTTAAAAAGTTAAAAAAAAAGATAATATTCGTATCTTTTTATGCAAATTTTCTCCTTTTAAGTATTAAGTCTAAATCTTAATTAGAATTTTGGGTACCCATCAACACCCTCATGGCTCATAGCTTCCACTAAATGAACTTCATGGAATGATAGTTGTTTGAGGAATCATTTGCGCTGATAGCAAATCTCTGCCACCCAATTAAACATGGTCCCTTGTTATATAAGTTTTGAGAATAATTTTTTATGATGATAAAATATAACCCTTTGCTCAAGGAAGGTTACGAGGTTGCACTAGTTAAATTTTTAAATGTAAGAGAATTTTTTATTTGTTAACGAGAATGTAAATTTATGTATCTCTTTTTTTCTTTTATAAATTAAATCATTTGTTTTATCTTATAAAAAAAAAAAAAAAAAAACCCACCCCTCATCTAAGAGTAAAACAATTCTAATGAAGACTTTGTCGAAACAAGCATAGGCCGCAGTTGTAACCCGCTCTATAAATCAAGCACCTACCTTCGCAAGTTTACATCTTGACCATTGCATCAAATATGTTGCTCATCTTCTTCCTCTTGGTTTTTCCTCTTTTCCTCTTTCTAATTATGGCCTTCCCTTGATTAGAAACTTACACTAGCTTGACAACTCCACTCTTCACATTTATCTTTGGCAACTCTTTCAAAAGTATGGTTCTCTCATATCCCTTCGGCTTGGTTTTCAGAAAACCATAGTAGTTTCTTCAGAAAAAATGGCTAAAGAGGTTAAGAAAGCCCATGACATCGACTTCTGTAGTAAACTTGCTTTGCTTAGCTAACAAAAGCTATCCTACAACGGTTTAGATTTGGCTTTTTTGCCATTTAATTCTTATTACAAAGAGATCAAGAAAATAAGTTCCTTGCATCTTTTTAGCCCTAACAGGGTTGAACTCTTTCATCCCAAAGAAGATGAAGTTTCTCAAATGATTGACAAGATATCGAAATCATCTGATGCTTCCAAACCCATCAATCTTAGTGAAGTCATGACGTGTCTTACAAGTTCCATCATCTGTAGAGTTGGTTTTGGAAAAAGATATGAAGATGAAGGAAGTGAAATTAGTAACTTCTATGGATTACTTAGCGAAACTCAGGCGATGTTTACAAGCTTGTTTGTCTCTGACTACTTTCCTTCAACGAGGTGCATGGGTAGATAGACTCACTAGAATGTTGTCTCGCCTTGAGAATGTTTTCAAAGAATTAGATGCTTTCTATCAACAACTCATCGATGATCATCTTGATCCAAAGAGACAGAAACCAGAACAAGAAGATATAATTCCAGTTTGAGTAGAAAGTACTTTTGAGTTATGTAAATGAATTAATAGGTGTTGGGACGGTTTTTTTTTTTATGGGGTTGAATGTGACTTAATTCTCAATTAATAAGTCCAATATCTTTTTCAAATACCAAGATTAGTAAAAAAAAACACACACACACAATTGAGCAAAGAAGAGACTTTAAAGCAGAAAATGGAGAGAATCACTCACCCATCTACTAGATTTTAGTCATTAAACAAAAACAGAATCCACAATCACGGGATTGAGGCCATTTAAGGCCCACAAAGGCATTTAAATTTTGTAAGTATGTGCTTAAGACAAACTTTTATGGTATTCCTAGTTGTCATTATGCTGATATTGGACCTACACAACTGTGCAGTAGTTCCATGAAGCAATCTCTGCAAATATTGGTGGTGACATCTCAGCCATAGACTATTAGGGTTCTGACTAGTCTGGTGTTGTAGAATCCGTTGGTAGTTGTGGCACTGGAGGAGAGAGATGGGAGGAGGTGTTTGAGATTGGCATTATAAGTACTATTTATGGTGAAATTGTTGGATGATGGGTAACTGTGTGCAAGCATATCTTCACTTGTAAAGCAGAGGGAGGTAATGAATAAGGAAAAAACACAATGACTATGAAGAATAATACAGACAATGCAGGTGCTTTTCATAAATCAATAATTTAGTTTCCGAAACGGGGTGAATGGTGTGATTAAATGTGGAGTTATTGATGGGGTAGGATTTATGGGTAGGACTTTGGAGTGAAATGGGAAACAGAGAAAGAGAGGTCTTCTATCAGGGTTCTGGCCAACCTGATGTTGATCACTTGATAGTTAATTTTAAAGTAACAAGAAGGTTATGGCTGAATTGTTTCAGATTGTGGAATTTTAAGTATGCAATGAGTAATAATTGTAAGGAGGCATTTCATTTTCGGCATAGGTTTGGTGGGACAACAAAGGAAAGACGGATGTGAGGTATTTTGGTTTGCTGTCGTCTGGTCCTTGTGGCGATGTAGGAATGAGTGCAATATTCAATGGAGAAACTATTGAGGAAAACAATTTATTTGTGATATAATAAGTGTACAATCCTTTTAATGGCATTTGAAAAGACAAATTTTACTATAAAAAAATAAAGACAAAATTTGATAATTTATTTTTTTCTTAGAGGCAAAAAAAAAAAAAATTATTATTGGAGTAGAAAGGTACTCGAAAAAAAAAAAAAAAAAAATCTCGCGCTTCATGCCAATCACGAGTTTATCAAATTACAAGTTAAGCTACTGCCCCCTCAAAGCAGGTTTCAAGCACCTTCCAGCACTATTTCACCAATCACTAAATGATAAATTATTCAACCCCATCAGACCACAAACTCAATGAAACGATCGCGTCTGAACCAAACCAAACAAACCATCTTCCTTAATGGAACTCCTTTGGAACACCCTTTCATTCCTTCCTAGCCATAAGGTCCACATGACAGAAAACCTAAAATTGAGTTAGAATTTATTTTATATTTTATGTTGGGTTCTAATTTTTATTATATTATTTAAGAATGAGCAAAACTTAAGTTTGGGGGTGTTTAATAGGTTGGAATTTCATAAAATATAAATGTAGAATTTTTGCCTTGATATTATTGATATTTGAAAGAATTTTATGAGATTTACTTAATTTTACATTATTTTATTCTTTGTAAAAAATGCCTTAATTGAAAGAAATCAAAATTTTTAGGATCAAATTGAAGAAATTAGAATCATGAAGATCCAAGTGTCAAGTTGATAAAAGATGAGAGACCTGTACAGTTTACCAATAAAGAATCAAAATTGCATTTTGGCCCAAAATTCCCGAGATCGCTTACGGTATCGGCACTTAGATTTTGATTGTCGACCCCTTAGGCAATTTTCAGCATGCCTTTGCCACGTCTTTATTATTTCCTTATTATTCTGGTGCGAGTCTTATTTCTACTTCAATTAAAATTTTTTAAATTTTATAAATACTTATTTAATATTAAAAATAAAGAAGCTGTTTTTTTAAAAATTGTTCATTTAATTGTTGCATGGTAAAAATGTTTAAATGTAAAATTTGTTTTGTAACAAAAGAAAGAAAAGGATAAAAGAAAGAAAAGGACTTTCTTGATAGTATTTTTTTTATAAGCAATTAAACTTTGAGTTAAATGACGGGAAGAACTTCAATTTAATAAAAAGATGCACATTAAATTAGATAATTAATAAAAATAAGAAATACATTTTTATACAAATAGATTATAAATAATGACTTAAAAATCATAAGAGACTTCCCATATTAAAAGTTAATAAGCTGTGTTTGTTAATGAGAAAAAACGAAAAGAGACTTAAATGAAAATAAAGGCATGATAACTAAAAACAAGGATGGAGGGAGGGTGTGCGTTAACCTTTGAAAAGTTTTCAAATTACACTCTAAACATTTAAAAAAATCAACTAGCTCCTAGATTTTTTTTTTTGAATTTCCTTTGATAATGTTTGGTATAATAATAAATTTTCTCCTTCCTTAGTTTGAAAATTATTTTGAGTATTAAATATTTTTTTTTCTAATTATAGTGAATTAATGATAAATTTTATTGCAAGGCGTAAAAAATCACAAACTTCGTAAATGCAAAATAACATTTATCTTTTAGAATTCTATGTTTTGTTGATGTGGATATTGTGACGCTGCTTGGTGTCGAGATTTTTGTCATATTGTCCCCTTTATTTTCCTTCTCTAGATTAAACGAGGTCGTTTTAAGATTGGCTTTGGATTTAATCCGTAAGTTCCACCTGCTTGCCTCTTTAGTACTCGGCTTTAGCCTGGATTGCAATTGAGTCCCCACAAAGTGAGATGTGCTTTGGATGTTTTTGATCAAGTACAAAATAATATTAATTCAATGTCATTTTTTCCGAATTAATTTCCCATATCCTTTTAAAACTCAAATATTTCAAAAATTTTCATTTAAAACATAAGAATTTGAGAGAAATTAATATTTTTTAAAAAAACAAAATTTTTTTTATAAAAGTATTGAAATAAGCAACATAAAAATTGAGTTATAATAGTTGTAATGATAATTTCTTGGTAGTGACAGGCTTGACAACAAATTTAGTCAAGGAAGTTGGCACTAACACTTAGCTAGAACTGAATTTGGTGAAGAAAACTTTCATTTTGCTCTATTTTTAATAATCATCTGATAATAAATATTTTAAACTCAAATTTAAACGTTAATTTCTCCAAATTTGATAACCTATCATTTACTTCCTCAAATATCTCCACATTACAAGCCATTAACTTTGTCTACAACACCATCTCTTGGAATCTAACAACTAACTCTACAAATTTAATGATTGATAAAAGATTAATTCCTCAATATGTATTACAGAAGCAACCTGTGGTAGACTACTAGAATGAAACATGATCTCCACAACACTAGATCACATTTAGATTTGAAGTTTGTTACTTGGAGACGTGCATGTCGTAGCATCCATGGCATCATCAGATTGGGTTTTATTTATAGTGTAAATAGAAACTTTTGGAGGGGTTCTTTGGGAGCCCTTTAAGAGTTCTTTTGGACCCTTCTAGAGCACTCTTGGAGACTAAATTATAAACAATAATAATTCATTAACAATAAAAGAAGAAAGAAATTAACATTCTCAAATTGAAATTTGTTTTTCTTAAGTTTTATTCTTTGTTTTGACATGGATTTTTGGTTTATATATTAAGACTTCAAATCCTATTATTATTTTTATTATGAACTAAGGCTACAATATAACTTAATCAATTTAATATTGATTTTTATGAGTTTTATGTTTTTGGGATTGCCATTTCATGACAATAATATATTATTGTTCTTAATATTTTTTAATACTTGATTACCATTAAAATTGAGATTTGGAAAAAAAATTATACAATAATTTGAATAATATATATTATAAATTGAACCAAATTTAGAGATAGACCAACATGATTTGTGTGAAATTAGTTATAAGTGGACTCTAAAATTATCATATAAATATAATGCATCTTTATCTATTTAAATTTTCATAAAATATAATAGGTTAAAAAGTGAAAATATGTTTGATATTTGAAAAACTATATTGAATAAGATAGAAAATCTACTATCACATGAATAGTAAATATTTTGAAAGCATAATAATATAAAATCTATGTTGATTAATTATGGTGAAGTAGATATTTTAACACCTCATACCTTAGTAAATTTTATTTTAAATTATTATTTTTTAATTAGTGTTAATTAAAAATTCTTAATTTTTATCTGTTTAAATAATTCTAAAATTATTTATTTTTAGTATTTAGTTAGTCATAGTCTTTGTGAGAATGATACTTTATTCATCGCATTATTACTTGAATGACTAATGCTCTTATTGGTAGATTTGAATGCATCAATTAATAAAGAAAAATGTAATATCCTTAATTAAAATTTTTTTAAAAAAATTGTATTGTTATTCATACCAAATCTCTTATTTTCCATGTCAACAATTTAATTTAAATCTAAAGTATAGTTAATGGAGAAAAATGGTCATGTCAACGGCTAACTCCCC